CCTTATCCCCCCTCTCTTTTTTTTTTTTTTTTTTAATTAAAATGCCTAATGGGTATTAAATTATATTAAATGCCAGTCTAGACAGCTAGGCAGTAGAGGAAAATCTGATTCTTTTTTGTTCTCAATATGATGAGATGTTTGTGATTAGTGGTATTCTAAATCCGAAAGTCTTGCTTGATTTTTCTAATTATTTCTGAAGGTTTGAGCAAAGAAGGTATTAATTACAGAAGACAATGCTATATCACAGGTATTACAGAAGAATTACTCTATAGTATTATAATGGAAAATAGCTGTAATATTTCATTAGAATATGTTAAAAGTACTGTTATCTTAATAAGAATTTGCATACTTTGTATGTGGCATTATTATTGTATTTCAGATCTTACTTGAGTACAGGTGGATGTGAAGGAGTGAGAGTCTAGTTGCATAGAATTCATAAGAATGTGCCTGACTTTTTTTCTGTGGTGGAAAAAAGATATGCTATAGTCTCAATCAGGCACGAAGCCGTTTTCAGTTGTACTCAGATCCGTACATAGCAAGTCCTTTGCAGTTAGGAGAAGCATCATCATGCTTTCTGCCATTTGGTACAGCGAGCCAGAATCTTTCATTCATTTATTTTTGTACAAATCTTTGTCACATTAACAAGCAGTACTGGTCCCTAGCGTGTCTTTTGTGAAGGAATACTAGCTGTTTCTAGAAGCAAAAGTATAGCTCTTCCCATTTTCAGTTTGATATTGAATATTTATTAACCGTGTATCACAAATGCCAGATTCTTTTTTAATTGGCAGGAGTATTAGCAGTTTGCTGCACTCGCTAAAAGAAATCAGTATTGGGATCTGGTAGTGAAAAGCAAAAGAGATCCTTGCTTCAGGCAGGTAAAATATTTTTCAGCAGAGTTCAGGGCAGCGTTTAGGTGATTGTTCAAGGCTGAATAGGATTTCATTTGGAATTATGTCACCTAAACTCAAGAAAGACAATGAGGTTATGTATTTCAGTTTGTGTAAGACAGCGAGACTAGATTTGGTGATCCAAGCGGTCTTTACCAGGCTTACTTCCTCTTTTTCCAGTGTTCTCAATAATCCACTGTAAGAACTGGAAATAGAGATTTTTTCACAAGTGTGCCCTTTCTTTTATTCTAGCAACTGTGTCTTTCAGAAGCCTTGCCTAGAAGAAGTCCTCCTGATTAACAACTCGCACTGAGTTTAGGAGAGAAGATATTACAGGATGCAGGCGAGAGCTGCTTAGGAGATTGGTAAACATAAGTTCATGGGAGTTATGGAAATAAAGGGTGTATCCAAATATTAATGTGCTGGTTTTAACTGGTCCTGCCACAGCTTACGTTTGCTGTTTTTGAGTAGGCATTAAAATGTTTTCCATCACCATCGGACCTGCTGTAGTTAGTGGAGAAGCGAGTTTCTGGAGTAGTCATATACGCCCACACTGCGCTCACTCCACCAAGGCAGTAAGTGGTGACAACAGTTGCGGCAGAGTGAAGAAGCAGACCCATGATTTTACAGGGCCTCTGTTTGGGTTTGAGCTTGGCTATCTTTGCTCTTTCTGACTTACAATCATGCGTCATCAGGATCTGTAAATCTGATTTCATGTTTCTTAAACTGTTTGCAAGCATAGTGTCCTTTGCACTCATCTGTTGTCATGCAGCATCCTTCACCTTTGCATTTAATTGCTGTCTGTGAGTGCTTACCGTAGTGATTCACAGTTTCTCCAGGAACTGGGTGTGAGAACTGTCAGTATTGGTGAGCAGTTCCCAGGATTACAGGAGTTTCCTATTTCCTTGTGAGATGCCCCCTTCCCCTCTGTGAACTTTCCCTTGAACAACTCAGAAGATTACGAACAAAAGCTGGAGAAGTGCCAGAATGTACTAGTTCATAAATAGAAGATTTGCAATCAGTGTCAAAATGGATTGAAAGTCTCTATATAGACAAAAGAAATTAATAGATGAATTGCATATATTTAAATTAGCAGGTTCCTATCTAATAGCTCACAAATAATTAATGTAAAATATATGGTGTCAAGAATGTAATGGTCTCAAAAATCAGTTACAGAATAATAATTTTTATTATTACTTGGATTTTAATCAATCCATCAAGTGCAATCACATTCGTGTGCGTTACCTCATTATAGCCTGGCATCCCCAAGTGCTAGACGCTTATTATTTTGTAACTTATTTTTCCAATTCATAAATGTGAATTCAATATCTGTTTTTTTTACACAATCTAGATACCGTGGAGAAGGGATAATTAAGGAAGTCCCTAGTAAAATTATTCCTTTTATGTATCTTCCTGAATATCGAAACAAATGGGACAAAGCATTACAATCTTACAAGCTGTTAGAAAGGATTGACCAGGTAATATGATAATTTAATATAAAGATTTTATTTTAGCTCTTTCTGCATGAATTATGGTGACTAGAAAGACCTCTACTGGGATGAAGGAAGCTCTCAATGTGATATACGTTCTGGGCCGGTAAAAACTTCTAAACCCGCTGCTTGTGTGAAATGGATATGAAATGTGTCCCTCCCTTTACGAGCTAAATATTTATTGTGAAATAAACGTCCTCAAGCATGCCAAGAATTGAGTCCGTGGGAAACAACAGAAGTCTCCATCAAGAGTAGGGTGAGACACAATCACAACAGAATGTAGGGAAGGCTCCCCTCTCACAGTGAGCGTGGTTTACACAAATTAAAAAAATCACCAAAGTCAAGGGCAGCATGGAGATTGAATTGCTGCTGTACTAGTGCTGTGAAGTACTGTATGTTCTGAACTCCAGTTGCCTGGGGCTTTGTCTCAGGCATTCTGGAAACCCAGAACTCGGAATTCCTGTGAAAGAGTATCAGTCCTGTGTTAGCCGGCTTTGATCTAACCGCTTTAGAGAGATGGCCCTGTGTACGATGGAGAGCGGTCTCAGGATGTATTACACATACATGAATGACTCAAGTGTATGAAAAGTACTCTCTGAACTGGGGGGGGGGAATCCTCCCCTTTTTGTCTTCCCTGTACCTCTCTCACTTTCCTCTGCCTGGGTTTGCTAGAATTGGTCAGATGTTACGATGTAGTGGTACATCCAACCATACCTTCTTTGCTTTTTTGGGAAGTGATTTAGTTTAACAGGTTATACATCTTTGTCCTAGAACACAATGTGCTAGGTTGCATGTGTATTTTAATGCAAACAGGCATTCTAGCTCCGCTGAACGTGGATACTACATGTGCACGTTTTGAGTTTTTCCACACAGAAACTATATTCCTGCCTCAAATCTAGGCCACAGGGAATGGCAGCGAATCCCTACCCTGTTTTACTGGAAGATCCCTTTCACGGCTCTCATGTTGGTTCAGCCCTAACTCGATAAGAGAACTGTCATCTTATGCTAAAAATAGGAATCCATTTTTGCCACACTCTCATTATTCAACATGTAATGCTGCTTTGCCAATTAAATAAAGCTTAGCTTCTTACGTATTGATTAAAAAAAAATTACTTTTACTTACTCGTAGGACACTGGTATATACCACAGTGTAACACACAGTTATGGTATGGGACTGATTTCATCAAGAGACTTTGTTGACCTGCTGCATGTTAAACCATATCCTGGTGATATCCTTACAACTAACTGTAAGTTGCATGTAACTCCCTGCATGTTTTCATATTTTGGCTGCATTCGGGAAATCCTACGGGGAATGGCTGTAGAAGTTCTGCAGGCTAATTGTGCTATAGAGTACCTTGCTCCGTGTGTGGTCTTACTGATGCTAACAGTCCCCTCCTGTTTATCCCCAGAACAAAGCTGGTTTTTTTAATTCTGAAACTATCAAAATTGATCTTCAGCGGAAATACTGTGTTCTTTGTTTAGTCTCCTATTATGCCTCTATTTGAAAACTTGAAAAAAATGTAGTAGCATGAGGAAGCTGGAATTTATTATTTTGCTATATAAATTCAGTGTTTATTTAATAACACGTTTCTGTACTTAGATGGCTTCCTGACCAAATGCTACTGGCCTAATACGCTATTCTCAGAGTGAACTTGCTAATTTGCTCCATATTTGATTCTGAGTTTGGCTCTGTAAACTTACACAAAATGTAAAATGATTAATATTACAACTATATGGCCAGCCAGGAAAATATCTCACTGCTGCTTCATTTCTGTGCTAATCTTTTTCCTTTGTGCGGATCTTCGTACATGGCAGAAAACAACATTTTTCAGCTTGGAACTTCACTGACCCATCAGTTTTTTCCAAGCCATAGTCTTACAATACTTATATTACGCAAAAGTAATGAAGAACTAAACAAAACAACCCCTCCTAACTACTACGGTGCATGTGTGCAGCAGTTTCCTCATCTTCTCTGTAATTGCGTTTACTAACTAATGACATCTGCTGACAAACTGACTTCTCTGTCCAGAACTAAGCCACACCTCAACACTTAGGTATGTGTAATCACATCTCAAGGATAGTACTTTCGGGTGTACCTGCCCAAACATCTATAGAAACTTCTACATGTATTGAATTACTTGCACAACTCTGTAATGTCCTTTAGGTGTTTTGTGTACAGAATGGAATTGCTGAACACATCAGTGACCATATTGTGAGATCTTGTACTACCCCGTAGTAGCTGGAGCAGTTTCTTGTTTTTAAAAGGTTTTTTTGAGTTGTATGATTGCCATATATAAATATAATTAATTTGATTTTGCTTTGTGTGTCTGGTGACTTCTAGCGGTCAGTGTGGAATACTCCAGCTGCCCTCCAACTCCCTCTTGTGTCCGAGGCTATAACAATCCCTGTGGATACGTGTGTTCACCTTTGCCTGAGTAAGTATTTAAAGCCCCCTTATATTAGCATCTTTGGTTCCTGAGTTGTCTTCTCTATACAAAGCTTAAAATTTACTGAAGCACACAGCTTTTTTTTTTTTTTAATTTTCTTTAGACAGTTTTGTTCTGAGAGAGTTTTGTGCAGATCAGTTTTGTGACTCAGACTATCTTTTGAAACAATTGAAACTCTTCTACATCCTCCACTTTTCGTATTAGTAATTTCAACAGAGATGAACTATAAATTGTAAACATTTCTACATCTCAGTAAGTTTCACAGCAAGAGTAACAAGCGTTAACTGAAGGATTTTGCTCCTTTCATCGCAGGAATCCAGAGCATTCTAAGCTAGTTGTATTTATTCAGCCAGAACTAGGAGGAATGCTCCCAGGTTCTGTAGTGGAGACAGCATTACCTACTACTCTCATAAACTTAATCACAGAAACAAGAGCTGGACTGAAAGGCTTGAAAGACCATAATTAAATGTAAGTGGAAAATAATAAGCGCTTAAGTCACATGCATCTTTTACTTGGATTCATTTTTAAAGTAGATGATGAAGTTTAATTGCGGTTTATGTGGAAATGTATAAAGCTTAACTGTTAAAATGGTGAATGCTGGTTTTCTCTGTTCTTGGGAATGATGCAAGAATTTACACTGAAGTACCCTCAAAGTACAGGATGTTGCTTTCAATGTAATCAGGTGATGTTTTGTAATATTTTTGCACTTTATATGCAGAGAATATACACACACACACGAGAATCCGGTGATATAAATTATAGCAATGTTAAAATACAGTAGTCAAATATTTTTGCTATAGCTTTAAACACACTTCGATAAATTTTTACCTCAATTATGTACTCTTGACTGAAACAAGCAAACATCTTGTGTACTAGAGACTTTAAACACATTTATTAACTGTAAGTGTGCAAGTGTAATTAGCAACGATTTCACTGTTTTGGAATTAAATATTTGAAGAAAAGCCTGGTGAATTTGTATATAGCAACTCATTAAAAGCTGCTCTTTATGCACAGAGTTGTCTGTCACTTGCTGAATCCTGAGCACCAAACCTAAACAATTTTTATACGCTGACTAATTTCCAGGAATAAGCTGGTGGTATGATTCATTTGGAAGTAATGTTTCCCATTACCCATTAGTATTTCTGGTACCTCAAGTTACGGGTTAACTGCAGGAAATAGTGATAGCCATGTGAATAGCAATTTCCATTACAAATCACAAACAGTGATGCAAATTAAAGAACAGTGTGAAAATTGCTTTCATGTTCTCTGCTCAATCCCCTCCCAAGTTGTTAGAAACAACTAACTGCATACATAGTATATGTAAAAATTAAAGTAAAAACTCCTTCCCCCCAGTCAGCATGTTAAGGTATTAATAGTGAATACTAAAAGACATTTGCATACTATAGTATTTTTAGGACACCTAGATTCATCAGATAACTGTCAGTTTATAAGAAGGAAAAATAAGACAGACAAGTCACCAGCAGTTTTTATGTCAAAAGTTGTCAAAATATATTTTTAATATTCACATCTTTACAATTTATAGCAAACTTCTCGTAACTAAAGTGCCTTCAAGTGCTGATTCTTATAGTGTCTCTTATGAAAAGTGTTTCACTGTGGTTTAAAATACCTTAGCAAATTGTTAGACTGTGATAAACATGGTGCTGTATTCCTTCTTCCTTTACTTGTTTTAGGCTTTTCAGGGGGTTTATCCATAGAAGTCTTGGACACGGGTTCCTGGTTCTTCCATTCAGCTAGTAGTTCTTCTTGCACATCTGCAGGTAGTTCGTAAAAAGTCTTTGTGTCAACATCAGGAGGAAATACAATTCCCACTTGCCTACTATAAGTTTTATCCTCAGAAGGTGTTTCAAAGGCCTGCTTATCTTTATCCAAGACAGGGACATGCAAAACGGTTTGGCTGGCTCCAGCTTCCAGAGATGACAGATCTCTCCCTCTGAAGTTCAGCGAGTCAGTAGGTTGTTCTGCCATACTGCTGCTTGTCAGTGCACTTCTGGGACACTCAGAAGAACAACTGGCCCTGGAGCTGTGTGCCAGAATAGCTGCAGATTCATGAGCTGACGGGAGATGTATACTGCACCCTGCAGAGTGCGTATCACTGTTCAGTCCCTTAGAATTTGGGGAAGTGCTGTGTACCTCTTCTGCAAAACATACCGACGGCTGACCCGAAACATTCTCAGTAGGGATCGCTTCTGTTTTTTCAGAAATAATTTCTTTTTGAATATCTTCTGGAAGTTCTCTGAAGACTTCCTGGTCGATATCACCAGGAGACAAATGAAATGGGAAGTCAGGAACTCCTGCTTTTTTTACATTGCTTTTCTTTTCCTCTGAAAGCTTCCTAGCTTTTGTAGTTCCAGTTCTGTTGCAGTTCTGGTTCCGAGAAGCACTTCCCTCACCTTGTGAGACATCTTCCACTTCCTGTGGCAAAAAATGTATGTAAAAGCATAAGTATGTTCTGTGTAATCTACTAGTTACCAAGCACTATTTTACTAACAGCAAGTTCTTCAAATTATTCCTTAACACAGTAATTTTTTTTTCCTTATGATTGGTAGTGTGTTTTTAAATCTTATTTTCAAACATAGACCTTAAAAAGTACATGCACGTAGGAATCCTTTTCTTATTTTAAAGTAGCAAATACCTTGAAGTTACATTTTATTGCTTTAAAACTCTGTGGAGCTTTAGAATACACGGTATGATGTTAATCCCTCATATTCCTGAGCAGTTGAGAAACAGACAAGTTTATCAATGTACAAAATTGCTATGTCAAGATAGAAACAGTGCATTCATTACACAACATAATTTTGAAGTTACTAAGTTTTTGTATTAAGTACTGAAAGCATCTTGTGGAAATACTTAGCAGCTTTTCCACAGACAGCTCCTACGCTGTCTAGCATATGTGATTGGGAAGTAGGAGATTTGTTCAATTCCAAGCAGGAATGAGAAGCTCACTAGATCAGAAGCTAGTGCTAGTAGCAAATACAGAATTGAATCTTTGATTAATTTCTAGCCTGAATGGGGAGACTTGAGAATGCATAGGAAGGTAAATAATCACTGTGAAAGTATCTTCATAAAAGCAACAAGGTAAATTATAAGCAACTTCAAGGAGATTTTAGTCCAAGGTAAAAGATCCTTCAGTATGACAGTATCTGAGTAAGTGGCCTGTTGTTTCACAAATGCTAAATAAAGGGCAGATATTAATGGAATGAACAGCCAAATTCAGCAATTATTTTTTCTAGAATACATTAGTCTGGATTCTTCCCCTCTGCCCAAGTTAAGGGGCTTGATAACGTAGCTGGCTGTCCCATTTAAGACAGTATTAAATCTCTTTTAAGCAGTCTGTCTAATGAAAAAAAGCAAACAAGTAACACCTGCTCAGAAGACTCCAAATAAATCTTAATTTTTACCAGGTGAATAAAACTTAATGATCCTAAAAATTCCAGAGCAGTTAAGGTTTAAATCTATATAATAAAGACAGAAATATCTCGAAGCTTTCTTATCTGCAGATAGTTTTCAGTATCTTCCAGCTTACCCGGACACGTTTACCAGAGCCTGATGGTGGTGACATCTGCTTTAGATAGAAACCAATTGATCCTTTCGTGCTGCTAGGAAGATCTTTGAGGTTGGAGAAGCAGACACCCAAAAGGGTAAGATGAAATGGTAGATCTACATCTATCATCTTTCGAAAGAGTTTAATTAGTATATCAACCAATGGGGATATAACGTTGCTGCTTTCTAAAAGAAGAAAGGTTGGGAAAAAGCAATGTATATAATCAAGAGTAACTGACTAACATTGATTTAAATAGCAAAGTACAAAGGCAAACACTGCTAAAGGCTTCCAAAATAATCTGTCAATATAGTCGTTAAGAATTACAGAATACAAGCCAAGCTGAATAGACATGAAAAATGATCTAATTCTACCAAAAAGGGCCTTTACAGGGCCACGTAGGTGTATAACATTATCCCAACATCGATAACAACGTGGTTCATTGGAGTTTGCATGACATATTGTATGAGCTGACAGTAATTGTTAGTCTCCTCCAATGTAGAAGTCCAGTAGCAATTTTGAAGTAAGAAGCTACACAGACTTTCAATAGCTTCTCTAGGACTGTGAGAAGTGATTCAGGAACTGAAGTCAGGGAAAGGTGATTCTCTGTGCTGACACAGCAGAGATTCAGATTTATTTCCCCACCTCAATCTGGATGAAGTGTCAAATGAATTGCAATTGCCGGTTGGAAAGCTTAAGTCTGAGAAGGATGAGAGCCGTTATGTTACTGATTTTCAGAGGTACATCAAAAAGACATTTTATTACATAATAAAACTGAGAACATAATTCAAATCCCTAACAGAGAAAAGCGGATTATTAATCCGGGAAGCAGCCCCCAGTCGCCCTTTCCCAGCCCACCAAGAAATTTACTTCCAGGAATCCAGCCGGAGTAGGTTAAAGCATGGTAGTAACATAGAAGTTATCCCAGTTCTATATGTTTTTAGCATATCTCATCAAGATACATCCATTACAAGTACTGGAATAGTTTCCAAATATTAAATGTATGGAATATTATTGTGAATGTAAGGAACGGAATTTTACAGAGAAGTTAGGTGGTAGCAGCACAAAGTTGATACTTTCAAAAATTTTAAGTTTACCTTTTCCAAATTTCTGAATGAGATGAGGTGGAATAGGACACTGACGACTTTCCCGATTAAACCATTTATTGGTTGAGGAGAACCGGCGTATGGTCAATCTTACTGTGTGGGGTTGTCTTCCATCTGTGTACACTCTATGGAGCATTAATGCACACAAAGCAATAGGCATGACTACGAGTATTTTTCAGAGGGTCTCTAGAAACTGTCACAGCACCTAGGTTACAAAGTCAAATTAAGCATTACAGATCTCTCTCAACTGCTGGCTTTACTCCACTGATTATACGGGGAACTTTGGGTCCTAGCTGGTTCCCTGAGTTACCCGTAAGTTAGAAGTTCAATACAATGTGAATACTGTCTCCAAGAGTATTCAACTGAAGTGAATGTGAAAATTAAGTGGGCCAGTCTGCAGTACTGCCACATTTCAGTATTTAATACACTGAAAGCAGTACAGTCTTTGCAGTTATACCCTGTATAATCCTCAGCTTTTAGCTCTTCTTTTTGCTTTTCAAGGAGACATCCCCACTTTGGCAGCTGGCTTTTGGATGAAGGGTAAGAAACAAAAGGATGTAATTGCTTCTTTCCCCCTCCAAAAGGCATGGGGGGGTATTTTCCCTCCAAAAAAAAAAATCTCAATTCTCCATGTTGTAAATAAGGTAGGACAAACAGCCTCGTTTCAAATTTTGTGATTACCAAGCAATGTCCGAGATGCAGATAAAAGACTGCTTGCCCACAATGTTAATATAACTAAAATGGATATATCTTGTGAGACTTGCATAGATGTGGGGACAGAAAACCTTTAAGACCTGTAGATTATTTTGAGGCTTAGAGAAGCATGCAGAGAATATGAAAATACTTAGAGGAAAAAAAATAAAAATCAAGAACTAATGGGGGACACAAAGGCTATTCAGGACTGACACAAAGAGGGTTTCAAAAATCAGAAGAAGTTGAAGCATGACAGCACAGGAAACACAGTTCAGTGCTGCTAGAATATTACTCCTTTTTATTAATTTCTTTTACATAGAGAGTCACAGGATAGAAAGGGAGGATAGGAAAGTCACAGTAGTCAAGACATGAGTAAATGCATCCTCCTGCTATGCTGGTGTTTTTGTCAACTATCGGGTTTGGGTGCTGCCTGGATTCACAGGGCAAGGGAAGGAGGAAGAAATGAAAATGTTCTTTCAAAAAAGCAGCTGTGGAATAGGAGACAAGCACAAATGGTGATAACCAAGGGTCTGGAAGTAGAGAAAGTCACTTACGGAAAGAGAAACAAAACCTTGGGTCCTTCACAGAGATTAGTGAAGGTGCACTAAATACTGCGATGCAAAACCAAGGCAACAGAGGAGGATCAGCAAATG